TATTGTACCACAAAGTGTGAATAGATTTTTTTACATTTACATTGAAAGTAAGTACACTCATACAGTACATCATCCTACAAGAACTATAATCTGTGTATTAAATATAAAGCAATTTATTCTATCAGTTGAGATGCCTGTAACTGAATACATAACTCAAACTGACTGAATAATATTATTTATTATCTAATATAACAACAGTATAGAGTCAGTCCAAGACTGTTAGACACGTTGGTCCAATGCTGTTCTCAAAGACAGGAGGTTCTTTTTACCTTTCTTTTTCACCATGTTCAGTTTAATTTTATGTTCATGGCTGCAAGACTGTAGTTGATTCAGATGAAATATTAAGATATGAAAATATCCAGGTGAAGAAAAGGACTATCTCTTTCCATGTTCTCTAAGGAGAACTGAAACTCCTTGTAAAACTTTTGCTCACAATTCATTTGCCAGGATAGGTTTGTATGTAAATCACTGCCAAGGGGGCATAGGATTGCCATGTTGACCAAGGTAAATCATTTAGAGTGAGAAGGATGTTGGAAAGTCAACCACAAAAATCACCTTAATCGTACACTCTTCCATTATTTGCATATAAAATGAGTCATCATATGAATGCATAAATCTTAACATAAAAATACAGGCTTCTGAGATGCTTTTTTTTTTTAATATTCAGAGGCCAGAAGAAATCTTGCACTCCAGATTAACACCTAAGTAGCTTTCAATTGATAAGAAACAAAAAAAAAGAAAAGAAAATTTTTATTTATTTCATCCCACCCCATGTAGTTGTTAATTATGCATACTTCTGTTTTCTCCATAAGGGTACTCTCTTCATGCCAGAAAAGACACTGAGTTACCTACTTTCCACAAAAACGTTCAGAAGGCAAGATGTTCATCAGGTGGTCAAAATATGTTCATTTCATTTAATTTCAGAATTTGCAAGTAATAGTAGTTGAAAACCTCAACTTACATACTCAGAATTTTAGTATTTCACTATCACATATAAACAGATAAAAAGAATCATCAGACATTTGAAGAAGGCCTCTAACATGAAAAAAGTCTTAATAAAGAAAGGGAAAAAAGGGAATGTGGAGGAAATAGAGAACATTTTGTAAACAGAAATTTCAGAGAGAAAATTTAAAATGATTATATGTATGAAAAAAATAGAATCCTATAATAAGAAATATTTAAAGAACAGAATTAACTCTGTATGTATAACTATATATAAAGATATAGTTGACAAAAATGTCTGGTTAAGAAACAAAAGACATGGGAATATATAAGAAAAATACATCAAAGTTAGGGAACCAATCCAGAAGTATCAATATCTAATAATAAGAGTTCCAAAAAATATAAGAGAACATATGGAAGTGAACATTTATATTTAACTATTATGCAAACATCCCATAACTGAATAATAGTTTCCAGAAGAATCCAAATAGTCCCCATAGCAATGACTGAACAAAACACCTATACCAAAACCACTCACCCAAAAATTTCACAACAGTGGATATAGAGTGAAGATTCTAAATTCTTACAGAGGGAGGGGAAAAAAAGACAGGCACTCTCAAAAGGAACATGATACAGAAAGTCCTTAGCCTTCTCATTGGAAGCTAGAAGAATGTGGAGTGATGTTTTCAAAATTCTGAGACAAGATGGTGTATATCCAGCCAGACCACCAATCACGTTTGAAGGCTGTCTAAAGGATTTTCAGATATTCAAAGTCTTGATGCACATATTCATTCTCAAGAAGCTGACTGGAGTTTGTGCTCTGCACAGTTGAATGAGAAAAGCAAGTGAAAGAATGGATACACTAGAAAGAGCATTCCCACAGAAGAGGAGTGAAAGTTAACCAGCAACAGAAGGAAGTCCCAAGATGACCACCAAGCAAGAAGTCTAGAGAGCAAATGATTCAGATTGGAGCTGGAGGGCAAAGGACTTCAGGAGGAATACCTCCAAGAAAAAGTAAAAGTGAGTAAGAATGTGTTTAGGTCCTTTGAGGAGACATTTAAAGATTGTTTGAGGACGAACTAGTAATGGTCACACTGAAAGGTGACCAAATGAAAAAATTAACTCCAGGACAACAATGAATTGAGCAGAATATGAAATATAATGTTAATATACTACATGGCATATTCTATATGGCTTAGCTATGAATAATATTTACATAGTCACATAATGCAAATATTGACTATTGAGTTAACTACTAAACACTAACAATCTCATTTATGTGATTCTATTGGAAGAAATGTGTGTGTATGTGTGTGTATGTGTGTGTAAATAGGTATATGCTTATACATGTGGTTATAAATATGTGCTTTTGCAGAGAGAGGGCAGCATAAGAAAGCTCAATTGTTCTCTTGTGTTTTCAATTTTGGCAGGTCCATAGATACTGCTTATGATTGAATAATCAAGAAAACAGGATACCCATGTGATTCAGAAACTAGAGGTAAATTACAGAAGAAATAGCTAAAATGTTAAATGGAGCATGGTATCTGGAGTTTACAATATGAAGTATGGAAGAGTAGAACAAAAGACTTTTTCTGGTACGAGATTCATAGAACTATCAAACTCTTTCAGTAATAAGTGGTATAATTTTGCTAAAAATGAAACAACAAAGAAAGCAAAGAAACAATAGGTAGAATACTCCTGAATACAAAATAGCCCCAGTGAAGAAAGTAAATGAATGGCCATGGAAACAGTTGTTTTGTCATTTCTTTTGTACCTATAAAATAAGCATGCCATGAGCATGTATAATCTCTTCAAAAATTAATCATATGATATATAAAGGGAAAAAACCCAAGAACTATGATGTTATATAATCATGCCCCTCCAAAATATATACATAGTTTTAATAAAATGTTGCCTGAAATACAGGCACAAATAGACCGTAAGTATGTACGGGATACCTTGAAGAAAATGTCATATAATTAACTTAGCACCTTCCATCTTAATGGTATTCCATTGTGAAAAATACAGTTTAAAAGTTGAGACTAAATCTTGAAATCAGTATCTCTTCAAAAACTTTTAATGGACACTTGCCTATTTTTTAAATTTTCTGATCAATAGAAACACATGATGCTCCATCTTAGTGATTTCATAATTGATTATTCTGAAAGTAAACATTTTCAAGTTTTGATATTTTATGCAATAAAGGCATTCCATTTTTTACATTATTTGTTTTCCACCATGGGAGTTTGTAAATATAACATGTGTCTATCCCAGAATAGCAACTACCTAGTAAATAGGTCCAGATGTTTAGGATAACAACTTTCCACCTGCATGTCTTTAGGACTCCTTTGCCTTCTCCCTCTCCACCTCCCACCAAGTTCCCTTCTGTCATATCTTGTTTAATGTAGCAGATGTGATTAACTAGAGACATACAACAGCTTTTTAAAAATTGAACAATTACAGATTTTATCAGCATGGTAATAAAAAGTTATCATATCTTTCAAACTCAGAAAACCATTGGGTGCTAGAAAACATTTAAATAAGTTTATATTTCTCACATTAAGAGTCCCTGATTTTTCAAAGAATAGTGCACATTGACAGCTACAAAGAGCTTTAAGGAGGGGGAGTGTTTTTCTCTTGTGAAATACATAGTCCAGTCTAAATGTGATGGCTGCATTTGAAACCATATAGAGTTAGAGAGATGGGGAGGTTTAGTTTCCTGAGTGACATATAGTCCTATGTAATGTAAGCGGTATGTCTTTAGAGAAATCTGTCCTGTTGGGATAAAGGGAACTCTAGTAATATCTTGAGTGTACCCAAGGGTGGATGTATTCTTATGCAAATACAATAACCACTGTTCCATATAGGAAGCTCCCTTCTATGCATGATGCTGCTCCTGCGCCAAGCTACTGAGGGAGAGAAAAATGATTACGCTATATATGTCCAATTGATTCTGCCTCTCTTCTGAAGTATGTCAAATAAATTGCATTTTTCCTGAGCCCATTTAGAAGGAGTATTATCCTGCTGTGTTCCTTTGGATCCTGTACAGATTTCTGATTGCTGAATTGTAACACTAATCATAATAATTATCTATGTAATAAGTTCACAATATGAATTGTTACAGATGGTCACATTTTCTATCACAGAGCAATCAAGCTTATTTGTACAATCTACTTGCTCCCAGATAAAACAAAAGGCAACATGTAAGTTTTTGTATGTTCATCACACATTATAAGTGGCAATTTAGGTCTAGTACATCAGAGAAAATGAGAGATGATAAGAGAGAATGCTAAAGAACTTTTCAATAAAGCATATTTGGATTTTGCTATTAGTTTTACAGATATTATCATTATATATCCAATTAAATACTAAAGATTTGTTTTTTTCACAGCAAGCAATTTTGTTTTTCCTATCTAGAATCTGACAAAAGAGGATTTTGACAAAAGAGGATATGCAAATGAATTATAATTCAAATATAATACTACAAGTATTAGTTATTGACATAGAATGTAGAGCAAATTTATGACCTTCAAAAAAATGGTCTTCTAGGATTGACTACAGTTGGAAACAGTTTACCTTCTCTGTCACTTCAACAATTGCCATGTGGGCCTTTAGTTAATTAGCCAAATCTGGTCACCACTTACAGGTGTTGTCAGAACTGAAGAAGTATTTTGCTGATATTGATACTGATACTTTGCTGAAGAGATATTTTATTTTTGTCTTGTTACTTATTCTGAAACATGGCCCATTTTGCTGACCAATGTATGCCAACAAATTCATTATAGCAAAGGGGAAATTACTTCTCTGACTTTTATTTAGTATTTTATCAAAATCACAGGAGCCTCTGGCATTATGAGGTTAAATGCACAGAACATACTTGAAAAGACTAGGAACCTTATTTGATTGTCTTATGGTGTCTAACTTGTATCTATTCATGATCAAATAAAAGCAAATATTCAATATACATCTATAAAGGTGATTATATCCCATTTCTCTGCTCTGAGTTCATTTTTGGTTTTACTAGTGGTTTAATTTTTAACCACTAGGATTTTATACTGGTCCATCCTGAAATAGAAACCAGACATGATTTTTGGATTGTAACTTCATATCCTAGTCACTGTTCTATACTGTGCTTTCTGCACTGGAACCTCAGTATTGAAGTAGTTGTTAGAAGTATCAGGAGTGAAATTATGTAACAGCTTTTTAATTATACAAGTGACTTATAAATTTTAAACTGAACATCATAAATCCATTTGAATAGACACACAACATTTGTAATGCCTGAGAAGTGAAGGGCTCAGATATTCTTTAGAAAATAAAAACATGCAGAGTGAATTTTTTTTTGAGGCCCATCTGATAAGTTTATCCTCTTCACATTCATATGTACATGATAAAGTGAATGCTATCTTTAAACTCTTTATTTTGAGTTATAACTGTCATTTGTATTTCCTGAAAATTTGATTCCTCTTTAATGTAAAGAATAAAATTTAAACTTCCCAACTTTCTAATTTGAAAAACCAAGGAATGAAAACTCTGTTCTGGGACAGCTTGAAGATGTCAATTAATTCATTTAAACTCTAACAGAAAATAACAGAGTAACAGACATTATGTTCCTTTGGATGGCTGGCAGATAATTAACCGAATGATTACAAAATGTTCAAATATAAATAAATAATTCACAGTCAATTTTATTTTTATTACATATTAAAGGATGCATAATGCAATACAAGCCATATTAATATGCCATAGAGATTTCCATAACTATGCTCTTTCTCTCTGACTCCCAAGGATGTGCCTTCTTACAAGACCATGATATTACATAAATGATTTTTAGGCTAATATATATATTATTATTATTATTAGGCTAATATATATATATTAATATATATATATTTCTTTTGATATTTTTCAAGAATGAACGTTACAATAGCTAACATTTATTTTTATAAGATAAGAAAGACATCTTTTTAATTGCAGAGTCATAAAATACTTTTCAAGAGAAGTATTTAGGGGTATAAAGGGTATAGACATGAAAAAATAATCTATAAATACATTTTCTTACAAAATATTACTTCCAAGTTCTAGATATCAAATCATAATTTTCTCAAGTAAAAATATTTGCTACATCCAAATATCAAGTGCATGCTTTTCAAAGATTTATTAGCTAATTAATGATTGAAATAGTTAAAGGGTAAAGCTATTTCAAGGAGCATTTTGAGGAACCAGGCAAATATAGGCAGGTAAAAGATTAAAGCTGGTGAATAATCAACAGAGGGGTAAAAAGAAGAAATTGGAGGTTATCTTTTCTAATGGACATCTTTATCAGACAATAACAAATGAATGCATAATTTCTAGAGTCTAAAGATAGACAAAAAGTACATTACCCTAGATGATGAGATAATACTTGAGTGAACTTGACACATTATGTTCCTAGACTCTCTTGGCCTTATTAGTATAAGTTTTCCACAATTCTTCTTTACACAAGTATCAACCCTAATTCCTGGTACCTTACTTGTAGCTCTGATTTCATTCACACTCTGAAGCTCCATTATCAGTCTTTCCGTTTAAGCCCTCCTCTCCCTCCGATATTCTATAATTTGCCTATAAAGTATGAGTGGGTGGTTTCTTTATCATCCTTCTTAAGCACTCTGAGTGTCCTTTTAATCTGAGGTTTCTTTTGTAAAAAGAAAAAACCAAAAAACAAAATCCGTGAAATTGATATCCATTTTTTACCTCAAATCATTATTACTTTTCATCTTTATTTCTTCTGTTTTTGAAATAAATCAATCTTATTTTCCAGATATCAGCACTTTCTCTTCCAGCATCCCTATCTCTAGTTTATCTTTTAGTCTTTTGTGTTTCTTTGTTACTTCTTTCTCCAAGAAATTTTCTTGATCTGATCTTCTTGCTAATATATTCCTCATCTATATCCATATGGTCCTAAATTCTATTTGTATTTATTTTAATATTACATTTTTTCTTCTATTTTATATATTTTGTTATTCCTGTTTCATCTTAGTAATATCTCCCCTTTTATCTTTTAGCTTATCATTTCACTAATTTTAAATGGTGATAAATATGTTCTAATACTTCTCCTTCTAACAGAGTTAGCAGTTGCATTTCTCCAGTGTCTTGTTGTTTATACCTGTGAGTTCATTTCCCCTTAGGAATAGAAGCTACTCTGTCTATCAGTGCTTATGAAGGAAAGTCAGACTTTTAAGTGTCAACTCCAAAGTGCTTAGGGCATTTGGGGCAAGGGGAATAAATGAGTCCCAGAGTGGAAAATCCCAGTGACCAGTAAACCATTTCTAATGACCAACCCCATTAAACAAAGCCTTAGCTAAATGGCTTCACCTTTTACCTTCCAAGAAGAATCAGCATTAGGACGGACAATCCCTACAATAGATTGTATCCAACAACCAAGGGCGTTCGCAGATGGTGTGGGAAAGTGGCTGTGCAAATTGATTCTCCATCTCTTTCTGTCAGCTCTCTTTTGTCAGAGCTTCTGTGCTGTTCTGATTTTATTCTTGCCCATGTGTGTTGGAGTTCTGAATGGTCATCGGAGCCGACACTCTTAGTCCCAAGATAGTTTCGGGGAGAAACTAAAGCAAAATTGCCATAGATCGCTCCCATTGTTTGCTCTCACAGACTGCCTCTTGCCCAGTCAGAAGCGCCCCCTCACACATACCAGTTCCAGCTTCTGTCACTACAAGATTTTCTTACATTTCTAGTTTGATTTGTTTTCACTTTTACTATTAAAATCATATACAATTTGAAGTAAGACTTTTAAAATCATAATCCACAAGTTTATAATATGAAGCAAGCAAAATAAAGTGAAAAACACAGTTTAAATATTTCATTGTCGGGTTTCTATAAAATAGCAGTGCTATTAATGGAAATGTTCCATATTCTATATGCATTTCTCTGCAGTCTTTTAAATGTGTTTTGTAGAGGGAAAAGAAAGCCTAGATATCTTTCAATTGTGATGCTCTTTGGCTATAACTGGATTATCATTTGGAAATGCTCTATTTTGCAAGGAAAAGAAATGTAGCAAGAATCTTTAACATTTATTTAGACCTAGTTAAAAGGTGGCATGAAAATCTAGGCCTTTCATCTCTTCTTGAATGATTTCTTATTCAAACTGAGCTGGAGTTCTGAGAGCAGAATGTTATGCTTTCTTGGGTCTCCATTCAAGGGAGCCTTTAATTCACTGTTTCATAATAAATCTTAGAAGAGCCAGTTATGACAAAATATGCAATCGTGTGCCCTACCTGAATAGTGCATGGCTTTCAGTTCTGCAATATTGTGTATTCTCCTTTCATTGATTTCAAGCAAAAAATACGTAAAACAGTAGGCTAATGATACGTCCTCTGATTGATTTTACCTATATTTAAGCTATTCTAAGCAGTTTTAAGTTGAAAATTTTTTCTTTTTGTTTGTGAGGTTTATGAACAACTGGGGTAGTTGGCTATCGTTACATGGGGCTCAGAGCTCAGGTTTTGTGTATAAATTATTTTGTAAGAGATTATGAGTTTGGCCAAGAAGTTTGCATGTTTTTTTTTCTTTTGTTGTTTGTTTTAAAATATGCACAGCATGTGGTTATCTGAAAAAGTGATAAAAGTACTCGTGAATTTTCCCTTGTGAAAAATAATACTTTAAATTTAAACTTTAATTTGGAGAAAATTCCACATCTGGGAACATGGCAGAAAAAGAAATCAATAACATGATTCTATGGAAATTAGTTGGGGAGTAAATTCCATTTGATGATGATTGCTGCTAACTGGAAGGAATTGATTCTTGCTACCTGTAGCATCATAGGCACTGTATAGCAGGATGCTATACCCTAGAGCTACTAGTTCATGGGAAATACTGATAGGAATCTTTCATCTATTTACAACAGCACTGGATGTTTTTCTTATATCAACTCTGGCAAAGGTAGAAAGGGATAGGAGTGAAAATGGTTTAATGCACAGGTGCTTCAACTACCATTGCACTTCTGTGTTTCAGGTTATAATACATGTCCTTAGAACAAATCCTATTTTTCACATAATGTAATAACAACACTGCTGTTACATAGTGATTGGTATTATAAAATGTGCTGGGAGATAAATGCTGTTATTATGAAAATCCTATTAGCAAGTCTCTATGTACTATACATGCAGGGCAGATTTATTAACATACACTCTGCAGTCACTTCCCTGAAAACAGTTTTACCAGCTATGAAATACTATGCAGTAATGCCATTAATAAATGTATCTAATTGCAGTATATAAAAGTGAAACGTTGAATAGCTTGAAATGGCCTCTGTGAATGGTGAGATTATTTCAAGTAGATGCACTGAGCAATGGATACACTTTGTTACCCCTTTTTTCATACAGCCACGTGTCAAGTAATAGATCATTAAAGTGCACAGTCAGTTAGGCTAATGAGAAAATGCTGGTTCTTTTACAAAAAGCTGTCAGTAGATGGCAATGTGACTGTTTTATAAGGCATTTTTATTCCATATGGAACTAAAAACTTGAGATCATTCACATTTGCTACCTAAATTACTGTAATTTTTTCCCCAAAAAAGGGCTCCAAGAGCCATTTTAAACTATTCTTTAAATAATTGATAGTTACAAATGAAAAGCTAAGCCGAGAATTTCCAAAGTGATCAAAGTTGTTTTAATTTTCCATTGGTCATGGTTGAATAAAAATAATGTTACAAACTATACCATCAATAACCAGGGAATGCAGAGCCTCCATTTCAAAGTAGAGCACTTTTAGCAAATCCATATTATGACCTCACTTAGGCACTATTACCAGCTATGGCCCACTGGTGCACTATTTATTACAAGACTCTGAAGAATAATGTTGCATTGAACATTTAAATTTTTTTCTATCTTTTTTTGAATCCTTTCAGCTCTCTTCTTATCCATATAAATCACGACTGTTATTCTGTTATTTCTAGTGATACTTTATATAAATACTCACATGCCTATATATTACATATATGCATATATAATAATATAATTATAAATATACCTAAAATCAAAGAGTGCTAGACAGTCTGCATATACATTAAGAGGACATGGTTTCTGACTTCATTATAAATTATAAAAAAAAACAAAAAAGAATAATATATTCTTGAGGGAAATTCTAGGAATTGAGTTTTGGCTAATGCGGAATTCTAAGAAAAGGAAAAATATATTGAAATTCTTAGACAATTCTATCAGAAGATACAAAGACAGTATTCAGCTCTACAGAATAATTTTAATCACATTGAGCCTTAAGCTTGTGATTCCATTTTGGGGTATATAAGGGGTAAAGATAAAGATGTATTATTAGGAGTGGGATTTTATGAATGTGCAATACACCACAACAGGGAATCATTGGTCAGTTAAAAATACAGTTACTAGAAAGAAAAACAAAAATACAGTTACTAGTCATGATCTAAGCTGTGAGAAAGTCAATTAAATAGCCTGAGTTACCATTTTATCAACTATGTGAATGGAAATAACTTGTCAATATCTAATATTTCTTCAGATCTGATTAGTGATGGAAAGTTTACCCTTTGATACTTTGATTAGCAAGGCATACTAAAATGGGAAACATCCAATCCTGGGAATCCTATTCAGTCCAGGATCTCAGAGACCTAATTGGTGTCCACCCCAGAGGAACTAGAACCAATTAGTTTGTGTCTTGAAAATTAGAATTTTTAAAGGCTGGCTTCCTTCTTTTCATAACTCCTTAAAATAAGTTTTCCTGAATGTGGCAATGGGAAATCCATGAACAACAAAGGATCCTTGAACTATATTTAGACATACAATTTAAGAATAATATTGCCAGTGATTAAAAGTAGGGATAGTGTGGAGGATAAAAAATAATTTTTCTTCTACCTGTTGACCTAAAGAAAAACACAGAACATAAGAGTTGTGAGTTTAAGTTTTATCCAGGGTCCTACTAAGGACTGTAGCCTGGGAGACAGGTATTCAATTAACTCTGAGGAAGTGCTCTGTAGAGGTAGGGGAGAGGCCAGTGTACATATGAATTTTTTGGTTGGGAAATCTATGTAAAAGTCTTGGTAAAAGTTTGCTGCTAATTACAAAGAGGAGATATCTCAAGTTAATGATAAGTGCTTTTCCAAGTATGGGAAGATGCAAGAATCTGGGGTCACTGAAATTCTTCCTGAGATATATACCTAACTATCTAAGGGCCTGTTTATTCAAAACATAGAGTGTCTCATCCTGTTTTTCATCCTGAATCCCTCTCAGGTTGCACAGGGGTGGACCACTGCAGGATGTTATGACTTAACCCTTGAAGAACTGGGTGGTGAGTAATGATCTTTTGTTCTTTGTTCACATACCCTTCTAGGTTCTTGGCTGAGATACCCCTCTTCCTATAATAAAAGATAGATTAACAGGAGAAAGGCAAACAGAAGTTTAATAATGTGTGTACCTCCTGTATATCTGGGAGACACCTGGGAAAACTGAATAACTCCTTGAAATGGCCCACGCTATCACCTTTAAGTCAAATGTCCAGTAAAGACAAAAGATGTTATGAGGCAGGCTATTAGGAAAAGCACAGTAAACAAGGGTAGGTTTGTTATGCAGACTTAGTTTGTTGCCTTCTCCATTGCAAAGGTGTAGAGCTTTACTGTCCCTTCTCTTCCTGGTACAAAGAGGGAGACATCCTTACAAATAGAGACTTACCTTATAAATGTAAATATCTCTCAAAAACAAGTAATTTCTACTCAGTTATCAGAGCTTTTCCTATGCCTGCTGTTTCTTAAAAATAATCAGCCTAAAAAAATCCTTATGTCAAAGAGGCATATTTTGGTAAGGCAAATTCTGATCACCTTCAATAGCATCCTTAATGAAATGTAAGATTTAATATTTACATATATAAAAGAATTAAAGGAGATAATACATTTGCTTTGAATTTTTAATTTTATAATTTGAATAAAATCAGTAGTTCTCTTGTATGATTTATTTTAGATAAACCTTAGTAGTTTGTATTGTAAGGACAAACATAAATTAAAAACTAGAGGCTTAATTCTCCCTGTTAAAAATGGGGGAAGAGACTTCATTCCCTTTCTTTTTCTCAGAGCATTTATTTTAGGAAGCTTGTAATTGCAGCAGTTTCTTATCTCTTTCAAATGTATATAAATCCTTTTGAAGACTAAATAGGCCTTTTGTTAGTTGGCCTTTTGTCAGCTTTATGCCCCAGGATAGTTTTTCTCAAGAACCTGAAAGCCATCTCCTAGAAATGCTAGCATCAAGGGAGATAGGACTCCTAATCTCTCAGTTTCTGTGGAAGAGTAGGAGCCTGACTTCTTGGTGGCCACCTTGCTCCAAGATGCAAAACTATCTCTTGTCATAAAAATGAAAAGTTTGTTATTCTTTCAGATAAAACTAATTAGCTAACACAGAAGGTCAGTACAATTACCAGGTAAAGTTAGTATGAATAATGTGTGACAATTGGTGTTGCCAATTCCTCTGACTTGAGAACTAGTTATTATTTACCTTAAAATTTTTGATATAATGGTTTGTATCTGCTTGGCTATATAAAACAGTAACATTTCTTTTTGCCTTTGCAATCTCTTAGCTGACTGCCTGAGATGCTCACTGCATTCTGGTGTAATGCTTATTCAGTAATAGAAGGGTTTTCTTTCTCTATAAACTTCGTGGAGAGGATTTCTAGGTTGTGAGAAGATTTTGTTTTTAATTATATGTCCCCAACAGTCTTTAACCAGAATTCAGATTTGATTTTCTTGCTTTGGATTTTCTTCCTACCAACTCAATTCAGCTTCAACTGTTGCTCTGGGCAAGAATCAAATTCCTATACTAGTTATCAATTCCTATTGATATAGTTGCAATTTATCTTCATGATCGTTCATTATTCATTGAAGATAATTGTATACCTTATAGCATGCCACTTGTTTCAAATAAAGCATTCAAGCAAGACAAAGAGAAAAGCTATCGGGAATTTTAATACTTTGTAAAATAAGGAAGCAAATCCTTTAGATGAATTTCCATTTTAAAAAATCCATGAAGTAGTGTTTTAGGCAATAAAAATTGCTTTCTTTGGCAACATTTAACACTGGCTAAACCAGTGTTAAAAAGAAGTGTAAAACTAATAGAATACTAGTCGGAATTCTATCATTCCATTTGTGAAGGAAACTATATCATTAAAAAGGATTTATGCATCTATCCCATTAAAATAACATTTTCTTTTCAAAGAAAAAATGAGAAGACAGAGACTTTTGACTTTCCCATGGAAATAACCACATTAAAATAATAATTCATGGTGAGTCTATGTATTTTAAAGTATCTTTCCTTGAAATACCCTTGAAGTTGTTCTTTAATCAATAGTTTCATTAGACATTTCTCCATCTGTGATCATCACGTACATATGTGAGTGAGAAAACCTGTTCTGTGAAGTGATACTTTAATAATTATTTTTAAATTGTGTCTGGATGGAAGGTTATATATCTTCAATTTTGCAAGATTTTCTTAAAGACCAATTAAAATACAAAAATATATTTGCCTTCTATAAATGGCAATATTTCCACCTTTTAAAAATATAGATGATTTTTCTTATTGTACTAAATGTACTTAGAATAACAGCCATAAAACATCCATAGTGCTTTTCTAAGTTTTATTATTCTTGCTATGTTTTTGTTACAAAATTTTATGTAGAAACATAAATTAAAGCCCATTGACTCGCCTTCAGTTCTTTAATATAGTTTGGAAATCAGTCTTAAAGCATAGATTTGATTTTTTAAGAAAAGGGGGGTTGAAAGAATAGCATATATAATCTGAGTTATCTTAATGATCTGCACTTTATGCTTTCTGGGCCTTCTAAATGATTAGGTGCTGACGGTTAGATTGGATGTCATTCAAAAGACAATTTTCCTTGGACTGGCAATAATATCAGAGACTGGCCTAAGACCTCAAAGTCATAAGTTATTAACAATCTGTCTTCAGAAGAGATGTCATTGTATAAAAATCTCTAAGGTTAAAGGAAGAGATTCAAGTTGCATTAAACATCTTTTACCTCCCTTGTTTGAGGAGAGGTATACAGCAAATTTTCTATTCTTATTTCTTCTGGAAAATTTCAAGATGAATTGATTGTGAAACTTATTACTTCTAGGAGATTGACATGTGCACACTGATTTGACTTATACCAAGTATACTTTTTACATGCAATCAAACTTCATTAATGAAATCTGTGTTCTAAGTATTGAACCAGGTATACTTGGGTGCTAAATTAAAGGCTGTGTCAGGTTCTACTATTGAAAATAAGAACTTCTTCATTCATCAATATACTTTGATTTACATACTCAGATTTTTAGATGTAGCTTTGATACCATACTGAGTTATCAATTTGAAGGGTAACTGGAATTGTAGTCCTATACAGTTGGAAGGATCCTAAGAAATTTAGTTGGTTTCCTCCTTCATTCAGAACTACATTATCTCAAATATGTGAGAATACTTCCAAGACTGTTTTCAAGAATAACAATCCATTCTAGTGTGTAGCAACCTTGCGTCTAAGGAAATTGTTCATATAGTCAAATCTGTTACAACAAGAAACTTCTTTACTTATAATCTCTTAAATGGAGTATAATTTTTTGAAAGCTTTTTTGATATAGTCTGAGAGTTATATAGTTTATAGACCTCAACTTGTGACTTTCCTATTTGACTAAGCAAATTCTTTTAGTTCCATTATTTTAGTCATTGGAAGATAAATATGCTTAATTTATTTGTCAAGACATATCTTAACTTTGAAATAATTTCTTGACTTCTAATCATAGTCTGATAGGTATATTGCATTTCTAGGGAAGTCATATAAATTTTTTAAATTTCCCTTTTTTTTACTTAAAGAGTTCTTTTCTAAAAGGAATAAACTTAATGCTTGTTAATACTTGTCTAAATGTTTAATTTTTTTTAGTAAACTAAGTGTACTCTAGTGCTTAGATGTTTATTTTTAAATTCTCCAAATTAAGACATTTTAGGGAGCAAAATATTTTTTGTTTGGTAAAGGTTGGATCTACATATTTCATAACTAGTAGTTTTAAATGCATAATTGCTATACAAGACTTCAGATATTTAATAATTATTCTTACTCTGGTAAATACCCAGACTGATGATAAGATTCTTTTTCTGTAACATCTTCAACTAGATTTTATGTTCTGATCTTAGGGAGGCCAACTTGGTTTTATATGTCATCAACATGCTGCAAATAGTGAAATAATCATTTACAGTTATCTACCTTACTTTCATACCATCCATAACAAAATAGAAAAGAAATTAGACTGATCAAACTAAAAAATTACTAGTATTTTTATGTGCTGTGAACTCCATTGTGGGGATTACTTAGAGGCCCCATGGTGTTGGCTCCTGAGTTTGTTATAATTCCCATAGTGCTCTGCTAAGAAGGGCTTTAAGCAGTTTTTAAAAATTGTTTAATTTCTTTTCTATCTAAAATAACAATTGGAGGTTAGTAGGAATCGTTAGATCCCTATTATGTCCAAAGCTTAGGAGTAATTAAACATGATTGTGTTCTTTTCCAAGGCTGAGTAGGAAAGGTCCTCATGTACAGGTGTTTGTCTTGGAGAAAGTAACTGATGAATAGTGCACACAGGGAAGCAGCAGCGGCATGGCAAACAAGGAAGTACTGGAAAGGAACATTTTAAGCAAGAGAGGAAAACAGCATGGTCTTGGAAACTATTTACTGTTATATATCTGAAATGGGCATAGGTTTTTAAATATATGTATGAGTATAAATACCATAACATTATTGATATTCATATCTGATTTAGATATGCATTTCACACCTAATATTTAAATTATGATTTAATTATTACTGTTTTAATTTACATTATTTATTTTAAAGGTCATTGTACATATATTGTTAGATATTTTTATAGCTTTCATTCTACATTTGCCAATGCATATTTTATATAGGCAAAGAGAAAACATTCTACCAAGTATAACAAAATTTCACTGTAAAATTTGAAGAAAATTAGCTAAGATTTTGCCCAGAACTAATATCATTAGTGTTTCATTGAATGTATCATGAATCTACAATTCTATAGGTCCAAAATCCATTATCTACAATGCTGCAATCCTGAAGTATGAAAACCAAAAATATTTTGAAAGTAATTTTTAATAGAACATTTCCCAAATGGATATCACTATTTACAGTGTTTATCTCTCTTCATACATTTCACTGCATATATATTAAGTTTTGATTACTGTGTGGAGTGCCAACCGCTCTGTGAGAATTACACAATACACAATATTTGCATCAAATTAACCTTACAAAACTTGCTAACTTCTAAATTACGAAGCACATCTAGCCCCAAGGGTTTTAGATAAATAACTGGAACTTGTGTTATTTAAACCAAGGTGAGACTAAATCCTACTGTCTGAAGTTGCATATCTGAATGTATTTGTACACCATCAATTTGTTATTGAAGGTCATAGAGAAAAACAAAGTATAAAAGCTGGAAAGTAGTTAGAAGTTACACACTTCAATCATGAGCCCTTGTTTTTAGCAAAAGAAACTGCTGGCCAAAGAAGTAAATTATTTTGTTTAAAATCATGCAGCCAGTAAGTGAACGATAAAAAGACTGATTCCAACTCTCCATGCTATTATCACCTGTTATAAAAAAATAAAAAGTAAAGGGGGGGAAAAAAGCAAAGGGGAAAACTTGCTATGGCAGCAGCAGAAGAAAAATGTGGAGAGATCCTATAATTCAGTTGGGGAAATGGTGCTGGAACAATTGGATGTCCATGTGGAAAAATGGACTTTGACCTCTACCTCACATCATACACAAAAATCAATTCAAGATGAATCATGGCCCTAAGTAAAAAAAAGTAAATCAACAAAGCCTTAAGAAGAAAACACAGGAGATTGTCTTTCTTACTTTTCTATAGACATAGATTTCTTAAGTAGCATTAAAAAAGTACTAACCATATAAGGAAGACAAAGGATAACTTGGACTTTAAAAAAACACTAAATTTCTTTTTATAAAATGACACAATAGAGGTAATTATAAAATATATAACAGGAAAAAAAGTCTACAAATGTTTGACAAACATATCTAGAATATATAAGGAACTTACCAGAGATCAATAAGAAAGATAAATCATCATATTAAAAACACACACACATAGTGGAATTCATTTCACAAGAAAGGGTAGGCAAAAAAAAAATTATCAAATGAAAAAGGGCCTCAAAATATTAATCATCAAGGTCCTGCAAATTAAGCCATAATGAGATAGCACTAAACTCACCCAAATTGTGGAATCTAAAAAGACAGATAATACCAAGTTTTATCAAGCTAGTGGAGAAACTGGACCATTGCCATATTCTGGAAGGAGTATACAAGTACAATCACTTTGGAACACTGGCAATATTTGCTAACCTTAGATATGCATGGATGAATCTCATAGATGTTTTAGTGACTGAAAAAGAAAAAAAATCCAAAACAAAAGGGAATCTACTATATGATTTCAGTTATATAAAGTTCAAGACTGGGCAAAAGTAATGAATTGTGATAAAATTTAGAATAGTGATTGCCCTGGAAGACACATAGACTGGGAAGGGACACAAGGTAAATTTATAGGGTAATGGAAATATACTGTATCTTGATCTGGGTGATTAAGTGGGGATGTATATGTTCAAACTTCTCCTTGAGCTGCAACTTAAAATTAGTCACTTAAAACACTATATTTATAATGTACCTAAATGAAAAGGTGGAAAAAAATGCAGTGGAACCTAATTAAGGTCATTTCAATTTGAAATTCTAGAACACAATTCACAGATGAAATGGTACTTCAACTAAGCATTCACTCAATAACAGCATTATGTTTCTTCTATTTGCCAGCCACTTATTAGGTATTATGAATACCTGGAAGGTAACACAGTTGTCACCCTCAAGGAGCTTAGACTGGTGGTCATGAATGGTGAATACGATGCCTGTATGTATACAAGGGGAGATGATTCCACTCTGGACAAATGGGTTGTAGTAATAAAGTACAGAAATGTGTGAATTATTTGAGAAATTAAATATAGTTCAGTTTGATGGATTACAGGTTTCATTGAATAGTTTGATAATGCTAAATCCAAGTTTCTCTACCTTGTATAGGAAAACATTCAATGTCTTTCTTTGTCTTTTTCTTCCTTCCTTTTGTTGTTTTTTTTCTTAATAAACTTGCATTTAATCCCCAAGTCACAATTTATATACTCTAATGGGCTCATTATATTAGTGTGATTTTTTTTTGTATCATCAGAAAGAGGAGATTTAACAAGATTCTAAATTCCTAAGTAACTAACTAACCACAAACTGAAATGCAAAAGGGTATTTGGAGCTACTATCTCAAATTACATTTTTTTTTTCACCCTGAACTCCAATGTAAAGTTCTTTTCCCTACTGAATCAGTCTGGGATGGACAGTATGTGGGCTATGATGATTCTTTTTAACACTCTATCTTGAGTCTTTGGTCTCTTTCCCCAAGCCCATACCCTAATTCTGAACTCATGGAAAAAGAAGTGTTTTTCCCTGAGATTAGAACAAAGTTGGTACATTCATTCAACCCCAGGCCTTCCCAGAGCAGGAAAAGCCTTAGAACCACAAGATAGCACGGCTTAGTGGTTGCCATTATCACTCTGAAGATGGAGAGATCTGGATTCTAAGGCCAATTCTGCATGTTTGACCTTGAGAAAGTTGTTTACTCTCCTGTCCTTCAATTTCTTCTTTTATAGCTAATAAATAATACTTATTAAACACTTACTATATGGCAGTCATTGTTTAGAGCACTCCATATTCATTCATTTAATGTGTAAAGCAATAGAATAAAAAGGACATTATTTTTGTCCTCATTTTACAGATGAAAAAACAAAAGAAAAGGCAGCTTAAGTAACTTACCTAGGTCACATAACTTGTAAGTGACTTAAAAGCCTGTTTTGAAACCTAGTCTGGGTCCAGAGTCCACATTTTTCATGACCACTATGAAACACTGCTTTATAATAACTAGTACTGAGAATAACAATAGTACTTACTCCTAGAATTATTTCAGATACATTCAGTTAACACATGTAAAGTTCATAGAAATGCCTAACCTATAGTAAATATTCAGTATAGGTTAGTAATCATTATTATTTAAAATGCAAAAATAATAATACTATCATTTTCTAATGAGGATTAAATAAAATGATGCATATAAATAACTTACAAATTTAAAATGCTCACTTTATTATTATTTTACTACCTATAAAGGACAGTGTTCAAAAACAGTTTACAAGAGGGAATCCAGACACGTGTCACTTCTACTTCCTGGGCAATACAGGAGCAAGGCTCACTTCTCTTGCTTGCAGTAGTGGCAGTCAAAAGAAAACGGGGAGAATCCAAAATGAGCCTATTATGTGAATTCAGAAGGAATTAATCTTTCACGTGCACCCGAAGCATCTACCCCACAGTACTGTGGTTTCATAGCGCCCTTAATCCATATCATTATCATTATTATTCTTGGAGTGATGGGCGGGTCAAGGGCATTAAGCACCTTCTAGTTGTTGAAGTGTATCACCAACTGGGAGACAGAAATTATTTTTGTAGTTTTACATGAAGACACGGGGGGAGAGCATCTTATGCTACTGTCAAATCCAGTTATTCCAGCCTCAAGTATGTCTATTACATTTCCAGTGTTGAAATAACTTTCTAGGCACAACATGGTACTGCTTCTGCTGGGGATCCACGTCAGCAAACCAAAACTTATCTAAGTTTGTGTCCCTGCAAATGTTCCTCGTGATCACAGTGAAAGGATTTCAATCTAAAATGGAACCACAGGGTTTGAAAAGGAGAATCTCAGGCATGCACCCTCAGAAAAATAGGCTTTAAGAATTGAAAAACTGATTTCACATAAATTCCTGATTTACAGAAGACTGAGAGTTATCTCCTGACCAATGAACATGTAACATGAATCCCTCCCCATCCTCAACCAACGAACTTAGTTTGGACTCTGGATGGACTCTCCCGTTTGCACTCCTTGCCCATCCCCAGATGACTCTTGAGTCTTCCCACCCAAAACCAGGTTGACTATGTGGCCTCAATCAGGTATTTTATTTTTCCTCTTTCTTATTCTTTATTCAATAAAAGTTTCTTGCCTTCTGCCCCACTCTGAAGTTCTCCAAAAGAAGAGGATTCACTTCATGAAGTGTTATATAGTTTGTTTGTATCACTTATGTTGCTTTTTCATCCTTTTTAAACAGTTTTTAGTGACCAGGAGTGAGACCCAAAGCTATATGCTAATGGCCTATGGGTCCAGGAGGTGCACAGGCATGGTGCCTACTGATCCCTTTGAGTTCACTGTTTCTCTCATTGTTACTAAGGGCCAGGGGTAAGTCAGTCTTGGACTTTAGCTCTGTCCTCTAGCATGCTGCTCTTTGATCAAAACAAACTCCCCAGAAAGTGTCTGGGGCCCCAGAAGGATTCCAAAATAGTCATATTGGAGTTTGCAGTGTGTGATAGCCACCGAGGGACTCACAAAGCTCTGAGATAAATCCACAGCATAAACCACTGAGGGGCTTGGAAAATAAATGAAGACAAGGAATTTGGTCTGTTTTGACTACCACAGTCAAAATCTAAGTAAGCACAAGCTATACTACTAAAAGCCATTAGGGTGTCCAACACTATAAATAAATATTCTCATGAAAGGAATAATAGATCTGTTGCAAATGGGAATCTTGGAAGCCAAAGATAAAAAATTGGTGGGCCTGGGTCAAGTGCTTAAAAGCTGTTAGAACACTCACTACCTGACTTTAAAATCCCTATGCTATGATAAGTTGGTCACAGAATGAGTTTGATTGACAGTGGATCATCCACCAACCTTAAGAGAATTTCCATGCAGTGAGGTG